CATTATTTTGACTCATGCCTCAGTAGTCTCGGTCTGCGCAGTCTGCTGGCTCCTAGGCAGGATCATGTGGCACAGGGACCTGAGGGAGGAGAGCTGTCCACTGCATGGTGGTCAAGAAGCAGACAGAGAAGAGGAGGTGGGGAGGGAGATAAAGCCTCCCAGGCCACACCCCCAGTGACCCCACCTCCTCCAGTCAGGTGCCACCTCCCAACAGCAAGCCACTATACCGCCTTGTTATGGTTTGTGTGTAGGTGTCCCCCTAAAGCCTCAAGCAGTCATGCGGCAGCTTCTGGAGTTTGTGACTGATTATTGTGGGTGTGGGTGCTGTACCCACCCTGGGACAGGTAATCTGCATTACAGTGTGAGATGGGGAGAGAGGCTGGCTAGCTGCCTGAGCTACGGCCCCCTCCCTTTGCTGTTTGCTCTTTGCCGCAGCCATGAATGACTGCCCTCTGCCATGTGCCACTCTGCCTGGGAGCCAGCTGAGTATGGACTGAAACCTCTGCTAACTGTGAGCTAAATAAACCTTTCCTTCCTTAATTCTGGGTGTTGGATACTTTTTCCCAGCAACTAGACAAGAGTAACTGAGACACAAAATATATTTGAGATTAAAGGAAAATATAAAAGTATTGCTTTATAACAAAAAAAAGAGTAACTGAGACACATCTCCATCAAACAATTATTATTGTTGACCCATTATGTGAAAATAATGATGTTAATTATAGATTCCACACACTGAGTGGGCCTGATGTTCTATCCAGTATATGCAACATGTCTGTCAATCCTCAGAAAAACATGCAGGAGAAAGACAGTATTATCCCCTGGCCAAGAGGAGAAAGCCAGGGCTGGGGAGATAGCTCAGTAGAATAAACACTTGCCTGGCAAGTACAGGGTCCTGAGTTCAATCCCTGGTACCACAAAAAAAAAAAAAAAAAAGAAAAGAAGAAGAAGAAGAAAAACCAAAGCTTAGGGACTGTCACAGATGTTCTGTCTGCTGTGTGATGGTCATGGAAGATGCTGGTCACTCTACCACTCCATGCCATTCATATGATGCCACACAGGATAAACTGATTTTAGCAAGATAATTTAGCAATTACTTCCTGTTTGGAAAACAATTTTACCACATACACTAAGCACCACTAGAATATTTACACCCTTTGCCCCACTCATTACTGTTGGCACCCAGGTTTTTGTGGTGTATTTAGATTGCCTGAAAAGTAAGTACAGTTTGCGTAATAATGCTCTGGTTTATGACAAGTAAACAGCGGTTCTATAAGATTATGATAGATATAAAACTTTCCTGTTGCAGAGTGAGCACATAGCTGGAGAACAGATAACAGAAAAATAAACTGCGGGGGGGGGGTGAAGAATGTCCAAGAAAATTCACAGTGAAGATTTAGCAAAAGTAGGGGCCGGGGACATAGCACAGTAGAATAAGGGCTTGCCTGGCAAGCGCAAGGGCCCGAGTTCAATCCCCGGTTCTGAAAAAAAAAAAAGATTTAGCAAAAATGGTTGCAGACTTCAACATGCTCTTTAAAAGCATTTGAAGGGCCAGCCAAGTACTCAGTGGTTCCATCCAGGCCTGCAATGCTGGCCCCACCCCTGGGGTGTGCTGAGAGGGCTATTGAGACTAGGCGTGGTGGCGCGCACCTGTAATCCCAGCTCTTGGGAGGCTGTAAACAGACCACTACGAGTCTGATCTAGTAGTGAGACCCTGAATACCCTGTAGACCCTTCCCTAAAATACAAAAAAATAAGTAAGTAAATAAATAAATAAAATCATTTGAAAACATAAGCTCCTGACACCAAAGGTCCTCATTAATGGAGGAGTGTTTATGGTGCTTTATCTGCCTGCAAGTAAAATCTATGGCAGAAAAGAGGAGGGGAGAGGTAAACAACTAAAGGTGATTTCTGAAGAGTGACCTGCTCCATGAAAGCCTCAGGCAGTCCTTCTAGAGAGACCCAGAAGAAAGCCACAACTGTGGTCACACAGATGCCAGGTCTGCACGTATCTGTTTCTCCTCTGCAATGCCTGTCTGCCATGCCACCTTGCCTTGGAGCCAGCTGATTAAGGACTGAAACCTCTGCAAACTGTGAGCTAAATAAACCTTTTCTCCCTTGAAGACTTCGAGTGGGCTGGAATGTAGAAGACCGAGAAACTGATGCTCCTGAACTTCTGTAGGCTAATGTGTGTGCTTGCAATGCATTTTTGGTACAGGGTCTCACTATGCAGGTCAGACTCATACAGATCCTTCTGTTTCAGCCTCCTCAGTGCTAGGATTACAGATGTTAGCCACCATGTCCAATTCTGGGTGGCCGGCTCTGCGCTTCTGGGGTCTCTGCTCTTGCTAGGCAGATACTTAGACTGCTGAGCTATCTCCCTAGTCCTTGCATGTGATTTTTAACCCCAAAATGTTTGAAAAATAAAATCAAACTTTAATAGGAAAATAACCTTATATAATTAGAGTGTAAAAACTACTTTTGGGGCGGGCCAAATAGCTCAGCAGATTAAAGCACCTGCAAGCAGGCATAGGGGCAGGGGTTTGATCCCCAGACCTGCCGTGCTGGCCCTGCCCCCGGGGTGTGCTGAGATGGCAATTGAGACTGGGCATGGTGCATGCCTGTAATCCAGCACTTGAGAGGCTGTAAACAGGAGGGTCACTATGAGTCTGACCTACTCAGGGAGACCCTGTATACCCTGTACACCCTGTCCTAAAATACAAAACATAAATAAATAAATCCTTTAAAAAACACTACTTTTGTGTAGCTGTATGTGTTTGTGTTTGAAGCTATTATTACAGTGTCAGAATGTTTAAATTACCAAAAGTTTATAAGGTACAAATGTTACAGTAAACTGGGGTTATTACTAAAGGAAAATACTTGCTATCAGTTCCGTGCTGGCTAAGTGCAGTGTGTGTAAAGTCCGCAGTAATGCATGGGAACACTCTGAGCTGCGCGCTCACTCCCAGCCCCTCAGTGGCTCACTGGGGAACTCCAGTCGGGCCAGCACCACTCACGGTACACACACACATCACGGCACCATCTCACACTATATTTTAACGGTACCTTTCATATGTTTGGATGTACAAATGTTGTTATGGCTTAAGTGTCAGTGTCACACTAAAGCCTCATGCAGTCATAGGTGGGGCTTTTTCGGAGGTGTTGGGTCTATAGTGTGTGACTGGTTCATGGTAGAAGGCTAAGATTAAGGGTGAGTGGTTACTGGACTGGGGAGATGGCTCAGTGGAATAAGCGCTTCCCTGGCAAGTGCAAGGGCCTGAGTTCAATTTTCAGTTCTTCAAAAAAGAAAAAAAAAAAGAGTGAGTGATTACTAAACCAGTCCACTGATTGGTTTGGCACCACCCTAATCATGGTAGCCTGGATACGATATAAGGGACAAAAAGAGTCTTGTTTTATTCCTTGCTTGCTTTGCTGTCTTCTGCCAACATGAACTGTTTCTCCTCTGCGATGTCTGTTCGTCATGCCACCCTGCCTTGGAGCCAGCTGATTGTGGACTGAAACCTCTACAAACTGTGAGCTGAATAAACCTTTCCTCCCTTAACTTGTGGGTGTTGGGCATTTTGTCTCAGCAACAAGAAAACACTGTTGTATTACATTTGCCCCCAGCCCCGGTACAGTAGTGCACCGTGCAGTTGTGTGGTCTTGGAGTCTCAGGCTGCACCTCACAGCCTAGGTGTGAAGCCACCTCACTGTGTGCGAGTGCGTAGTCCCATGTCATATACGAGGAATCTTTCTAAGACCGAGTCTCAAAACATGCCTATTGCTCAGCCACGCAAGACTCTATGTGTATATATACATGAAATATACACGTGAAAAATGAGGTAATGACATTAGACTTCCGTCTGTCTGCCTGCCTGCCTACCTGCCTGTCTGTCTGTCTGTTTAACCCAGGCTGGTCTGGAGGCTTCTACCCTCCTACCTCAGCTTCCCTAAATGCTAGGATCACCACCATACCTGGCTTCCAACTCGTCTCTTGAATTACTAGTGTGTCTCCTTTAGTCCTGTGGTCAGAATGTTATTGATGCAGCCCCTTTTTGCCATGGTAGCCATGGTGTGGTGTTTGTTTCCTCTGCAGGTTTCTTATTTTGGGGGGGTTAATTTCTTTTTACCTGTAACAACTATATGGCTTTCTTAGCTTAAGTGGTAGTCCCTGAAAATGCCTCTCAAAGACTTGTAGGACACAAACACTATTTTATTATTTATTTTATTTTTGAGATGTATTTCACTATGCAGTACAAGCTGGCCTTGAGCTCACTTTGTAGCCCCGGCTGGCCTGAACTCACAGCAATCCTCCTGTCTCAGCTTCCGGAGTTCTGTGATTACGGGCGTGTGCCACCACGCCCAGCTCACAAACACATTTTGAAATATGTTTAATATGTCATATTTTGTTCCATGCGACCCAGAGGGGCCAGGCAGGCATGCCTCTGGCATATCTGAAGGACAATCGTAGGTGAGTGTGCGGCGCAAAGAAAGAAAGAAAGAAATGCCTCTGGCATATCTGAAGGACAATCGTAGGTGAGTGTGCGGCGCCCCCGCGTGGCACCCGGCTCAATGACAGCCTGAGGTGTCTTGCCTGGGTCCCTGGCCAGGCAGCCCACTTTTCACACATCTTCTTCCTGGACTGTTAGTGACGTCTGTCTTCTGCCGACCCATCCTGCAGAGGCCGCCTCCTCCCCTCCTCCTCCCCTTCCCCCTTCCTTCTCCTTCTGCCTCTCCTTGTTTCCCGGGGCGCGCCCGCGGCACTCTGGGTGTCAGGCCCCTCGCACACGTACACCACCTCCAAGCTTCACGAACTTATCAGACACAGAAGTGCCACGTTATTTTATTGCGGTGCACGGAATGCAATGCTCAGGAGGCCCTACGATCCGCGGGCCAAGGGCCACAGCGGTACCCGCCCCGGGGGCGAGGGGGACGCCAGGTCCTCCCTCCCGTCCCTTCAGCCGGAGGAGCGCAGGATCCCGTTCCACTCCCGGACGGCGTCTACGTCTCCGCGTAGCAGTAGGTCCCGTAGGCCGCCTTCTGGGGCCTGGGGAAGCCGAAGCTGCGCACCCCGGGGTCCGGGAGGCCCCCGCAGCGCGGCCGCGGCGTGGTGATTGGGAAGCGCACGCTGCCGTCCGCCAGCCAGCCGCCGTCGCATTGGTCCAGCCCCGAGAACTTCCAGGCGGCGTAGAGGTGGCCGACCTTGGCCACCATGGCCCCGCGCCGTTGGCATGCGGCGTGCGCCTCGAGCAGCGTCAGCCGCCCGGGCACGAAGAACACCTGGCCTGGGGACGCAGCGGGACACGAGTTGTGGGTGGCCAAGAGCGGGGTGGGGACGGAAGGGGACAGGAGGGACAGGGCTAGGGAGTCGAGCGGGGGCAGTAGTGGTGCAGGCCGGGCAGGGCCACCTCGGGCACTCCTGGGTCTCCGCCCCGCGTGCTCACCCGCCAGCACCGAGGTGAAGCAGAAGGCATCGTAGCGGTCGCGCATGCGGTCGCGGGGCCCGTAGCTGCGGATGCCGGGCCGGCCGGGGCCGCCGCACTGGGCTCGCGCGGTGAGCACCGGGTAGCGCACGGAGCCCTCCAGCAGCCAGCCGGCGTTGCACCAGTCTAGCCCCTCGGTCCACGCTGCAGCCGGGAGGGGGCGCCACAGAGCAGTCAGACCCGGCCGCGCACCGCCCGCGGCCCGCGACCTCCAGGCGCTCACCTTGATACAGCTGGCCGTAGGTGGCCAGGCGCCCATCCTGCTCCTCGCATGCCCGCTTGGCCTCGAAGTAGTTGAACTGGTAGCGGCCCCGGCTGGGCTGGTATGGAAACACCACACCTGGGGGCGGGAGAACTTGGGGAGGGTCTGCGACGCGCGCAGCTCCCGGCCGGAGGGAGGCCGAGGCAGGCGGCGCGGAAGACTCACCCTCCAGGCGCAGGCTCAGCGCCACGCTCTCGTCCTCCACCCCGTTGATGAGCTCGCAGCGGTACCGGCCCTCGTCCTCCAGACGCACGTCTGCCAGCACCAGGGAGGCGTCCAGCCGATGCCCCCTCCGCAGTCTGGCACGTCCGCCCAGCGGCCCGTAGCCCCGGGCTTGCAGCCCATTGGTGACGAGGATCGGTGTTTCCCGGAGCTCCCCTGGCTCTACTTTGCTCCAGCGCACCTTGTAGCTGGGAGGCGAGGCGCCCAGGATGCAGGGCAGTATGGCCGTGGCCCCACGTCGAGAGTGAATGACCTCGTGGATGGGGGGCAGGAGGTAGTGGGGGCCAGGGTAGGGTGCTGAGCAGAGGGGGCCACAGTGACAGGGACTCCCCGGCCCTCATTGCCCGTGCCCACCCAGATCCCGCCCCCAGAGGCGGCCCGGCCCATTCCCTTTGCTCCCTCGCTTCTGGGTACCCGCCACACCTACCCTTAGCACCGCCTGCCTGGAGCCTCTGCCCCAGGGTGCTCCGCGTACTAGGCTAGCATGGGCCTTACCTGGGTCCCCCAGCGCTCTGTGGGAGATGGCGAGCACCCAGGGGAGAAGGAAGCTGCAGAATCTGGGCAGGGTGAGCTGACCTGGCATGATAAGGTCTGCCAGCAGGACCAGCAGAGCGCAGTAGGCAGCGTGCCTAGGATGAAGGGGAAGGGGCAGGAAGAGCAGGCAGTGTGAGGTGACTCTGTTGGTAATTCCTGGAGGGAACCAGCAGCCGGAAACCAAGCCTCGACAACAAGAAAGTAATGGTGGGGGAGGCAGCAACAACCCCACCCCACAGCTGACCTGAGGCCCATGCCTCCTCCAGGCTAGCACCCGCAGCCCTGCAGGTCCTGATTTAGCAGCTTGTCATTCTATGGGCTCTCAGTTGAGGCGCTACTTCCCAAACTTGCCTTCCGTTGAGTTTGCCAACTCTACGCTCTATCCTACACTCTTTACTCTCTCCCAAAGCCCCTTCTCCAGAGTGAATGTGATCTTGTCACTCTCCACTTGGAACAGTGGCTCCCCAAGGCCCTGCTGGTCAAGTTCAATCCCCTCACAAGACTCCCAGAGATCCAGGTTCTTCTGCTCCTCCAGCATCGCCCCCTCAGTACTCTTCACCCTGTCCTAGGACCCAGACAAGATGGACTTCCAGAAGAGTCCCGGACAGCCCAGAGTAAGGCTCACTTCCGAGCGCAGGTGTGGGCTTGGGTCTCGCTTTCTCTAAGAAACCTTTCTCCACACTGCAGCTGGTCACAGTGTGGTGGTGGGCTGTGGTCTACTGGATTGCACCAGGGACTTAACTTTCTTTTGAAGCCATGTGTGTACATGTGGGTGCATGCGTGTGTGTATATGTGGCTTGGGACTGAGCCAGGTCCTTCACACTGAGCTACATATCAAGCCTTTTTAAAATTTTTAAATTTTTTTTTTTTTTACTTTGAGCAGGTCTTGCTAAATTGCCCAGGCTGAGGTGGACCCTTCTGGGATTCCAGGCAGTCATGGCCACCACACCCACAAAAAGTACTTTTATTAACATCTAAACTTATAGTGTGGTTTGAAAGTAATGTATATGACATGTGGAATATGAGGTTTTTCAAAAATGTAAAGTATAAAATTATAAAGTTATTTTAAAAATTAAGGGCCCGGGAGATAGCTCAGTGGAATAAGCGCTTCCCTGGCAAGCGCAAGGGCCTGAGTTCAATCCCCGGTTCCAGAAAAAAAAATAAATAAATAAAATAAAAATTCTTTCAAATGCAACTGTCTGTTTCGTCAGTATATGGTTTTTCTTCTTTATCATCTCTATTCTTTCTAATGCACTGAGAATTGAACCCAGGGGGACTGTACCAATTCTATTTTGTTTTTATTTATTTTACTTATTTATTTGATATAGCATCTCACTGAACATCTTGGACTTGTGATCCTCCTGTCAGCCTCCCCAGTGCTGGGATTACAGGGGTGCACCACCACATCCAGTTTTGCAGCACCAGGGATAGGACTCAGGTTCTTGTGCTGCAAGGCAGGTGCTTAGACTGCTCAGCTATCTCCTCAGCCCTTTATTTTTTATTTTAAGGCAGGGACTTACTAAGTTGCCCAGGCTGGTCTCAAACTTGTGATCTTCCTGCCTCAGCCTCCCAAGTAACCAAGATTACTGGTGTGCACTACTAGGCCCAGTGATGGAATCTATTCATAGCACTTCAATTTTTATTTTTTAATTGGACTGAGAACCCCTTGACCCAGTTTTATTCATTTTCCAAACTTGGCTCATTCACATTCTAATTGCATGACTTTGAACAAATTACTTAACCTCTCTCTTCCTCAGTATCCTTATCACCATTGCTGGATAATAATAGCATGCTTCCCTCCTTGAGTAATTTCAAAAGTTAGATGGATTCATAACATCTATGTCAAATGCTTAAAATAGTGCCTGATATGTATGGTACGGTGTATTTGTTAGCTATATCTCCAGTCCTAGCCTCATGTCTGGCACAGAGGAAAAGCTGATTTAATGAAACTCTTTAAGGACTTCCAGGGAGAAGAGAGAGAAGAGACAAGGAGAGAGAGAAGGGAGACTCTGGAGAGTGGTCAGAACCCAGGCATGGTGGTGTGCATCTGTAATCCCAGTGCTCTGGGAGGCTGAGGCAGGAGGATGGCAAGTTCAAGCCAGGTGAAGGCTCTGGGTTCACTCTCAGCACCCTTGGGTGTGGGGGACAACTGGAAATCTAAACAGCTGAGAGCCAGCTTCCTGCAGACATGAGCTAATACTGTTTTATATCAGGAGAAACAGAGATTAGGAATAGTAAGAACTTCCCAGTGGTTAAGAGAGAAAGCACTGGGGCCAGGGAGATGGCTCAGTGGAATAAGCGCTTTCCTGGCAAGCGTAAGGGCCTGAGTTCAATCCCAGGTTCTGCAAATAAATAAATAAATAAAATAAAAGAGAGAAAGCACTTGAGATAGGAAATGAGTGAGAGAAGCACTTCTCCTTTACAGAAAACTTGGTAAATAAGAGTGACTGCAGGGACTGAAATGGACGCAGAACAACCTATAAAGATAGCCAGACAGCCAGGCATGGTGGTGCATATCTATAATACCAGTACTCAGGAGTCTGAGGCAGGAGAATTGCTGTGAGTTTGAGGCCAGCCCGGGCTACAAAATGAGTCCAAGGCCAGCCTGAACTGCATAGTGAGACTCTGTCTCAAAAACAAAAACAAAAACAGTGCACATATTGAGAAAACTTTAGTGCCGTTGCGTGGTTGGTAAGGTTTGAATCCATATCTGATAGTTTAAGCTTTTCCCTTGCCCCACCCGCCTTTGGGCTAGGGATTGAACAAGAGCCCTCCCACTGAGAGGCCCAGAGTAGGCTTGAACTTGCAGCCCTCCTGAACTTCCCAGAGTACCAGGATTACACGTCTGCACCAGCATGACATCTAGGCTTATGCTTTTAACCACTGATCTGTATTTCTGTATTTCAAAGCAGGCGCCACATCCTCCTCGTACCCCTTGCAGAAAGTGGCACCATAGCCAGCAGCTTGTGGCCTACCTGTTAGAAGCCAGTCTCTGCCCAGAGGCAAAGGAAGTTATTCAACCAGCCTTCTGTCCTGCGCAAGGGAAGGGAAGCTTCCAGGAGAAAGTTGTCCAGGTTCCTGGGATGTCAAGCCACTTGAAAGCCCGGGTCTTGAACACCTATGTGGCCAACGTGGTGGCTCCTTTTACTCCTTTGAGGGAAGTCTTCTCTCCTGCGCTCAAAGAAGAAGCCAACATGCCAAGAGCTACCCGACCCGCCAGTCCACTGAGCCAGGCTAAGGGACGGTGTCCAGCCCTGTGGCTGTGGAGCCCCTCACCTGGGACCAGGGAAGATGCTAAGCCTGGGATGAGCATGAGGACCCACAGCAAAAGAAGGAGTGAAAGAGGCAATGTAAAGGCACAGAAAGCAGGTGCCTTGCTGCTGCCAAATGCCGGGGGGCCAGAAAAGTAGGGACCGATGTTGATGGCAGAACTCTGACCATGACTCCAAGGCCCACAGCCGCCCTGACACTGCCACATGGGCCTCACATACACAGCTTCTGACCTCCCTCCCTGGTGGGTCCTCACCTCTGCCCCTGGGTGCCTTGGTGCGCATTGCCTTTGGCAAGAGGCTGTCAAGGTAGAAACTGATTTCCAGCTGCTTCTCGGAACCTGATCCCTTCTCTCCAGCCTGTCTTCCCATCTGTCTGTCCTTTCCTTCTCTGTCCCCACCCCATCGGAAGCACAATTTCCCTTTGTCTCTGTCTTTTTCCCTATTGTTGAATAACAGGGCCCCTTTCTTCATCCTGTGGGTAATGGCAATGAAATGTCAACAGCTGGGGATGTGGGATGCAGGACGGGCTGGCACATACCACCGGAAAAGGCCTTCACAGGGCAGCTCGGGCAGGAATGGGCATCCAGGGAGAAGGGAAGGGGTGAGGGCAGAACTGGGGGATGGTTGAAATGCACCCCCAGGGCTCTTCACTGTAAGAATCTAAGGAGATTTTTCCTAAGGCTGGGGAACACTGTTGTGGCTAGGGTTGCAGCAGGCGAGATGGCAGTTAGTGAGAGGGACTTCTCCGTCCCTATGGAGGGACCTAGGACTTTCTAGGGATAGAGGCTCTCTAAATGAAGGTTGGTTTATTCATCCCCTACTGTCCCACCTCTACCTTCAGTATAGTTGCATAATTTTAGTTTAACATTCTCAGGAGAAAGAGGAAGGGGAATCCTTAATCTCCTTAATTCTGTTGAGAAATTCACCTTCTCTAAAGTCTCTCCTGGGGCTGGGGAGATGGCTCAATAGAATAAGCGCTTGCCTGGCAAGCACAAGGACATGAGTTCAATCCCTGGTTCCACCAGAAATAAATAAATAAAGTAAGTCTCTCCTATTAGGAGCTCTAAATACCTAAAATGCACTATGGAATTCAAGTGCATTTTAAAAACCTTTCCATTGAGGTATAATTTATACACCAAAAAGTACACAGGCTGGACAGGTAGGCATGACTATAATCCTAGCTACTTGGGAGGCTGAGGCAGGAGGATTGCCAATTTAAGGTCAGTTTGGGCAATCTAGTAAGAACTTGCCCAAAAAAAGAGTGGTGAAGCACCCCTGGGTTAAATTCCTACTACTGGAAAATTTAAAGAATGGGTGTACAGAGTTTAAGTGTACAGCTTCATGAATTTCCTCTCTCTCTCTCTCTCTCTCTCTCTCTCTCTCTCTCTCTCTCTCTCTCTCTCTCTCTCTGTCTCAGACAGGGTCTTCATATATAGTCCAGGTTGGCCTTGAACTCACTATACAGCCAGGGTGACCTCAAATTCATGGCAGTCCTCCTGCCTCAGCCTTTCTACTGCTAGAATTATAAGCGTGAACTACTGTGCCCAGTTGCTTCTCCTCCTTCTTCTCCTTCTCCTGCTCCTTCTCTTCTTCCTCCTCCTCCTTTTTTCAAAACAGAATCTTACAGTGTAATTTAGGCTGGCCTTGAACTCACTATGTAGCTCAGGCTGGCCTCCAACTTACTGTTCTCCTCCTGCCTCAGCCCTCTGGGTGCTGGGATTATAAGTGTATGACACCACACCCAACTGACCTTAATGAATTCTACTCCCTAGGTACACAACATGTATACATACAACTCCCCAGATCAACTGTCAAGAAATAAACATTCCTAATGATCCAGAGTAAAGCCAACTCTTTTTTGTTACCAATGCAGGAGTCCCTACTGCTACCTGTTCCTATAAGTAGCCATTTAGAAATAAAGGGTTTTTGCTTTGGTTTAGGTTTTTTTGCAGGGGTACTATGTAATGAACCCAAGGCCCCTCACTCACTGGTTTACAGCCCCAGCTATCTCTCTCTCTCTCTCTCTCTCTCTCTCTCTCTCTCTCTCTCTCTCTCTCTCTCTCGTTTTCCTTTCTCATTCTTTGAGACTGCCTCAGCCTCCCAGAGTGCTAGGATTATAGACTTGTACCACCACACATAACCATTTTTATTTATTTATTTATTTATTATTTTGCAGAACCAGGGATTGAATAAGTGCCAGGCAAGCACTTATTCTACTGAGCTATCTCCCCAGCCCCTTATTTTTAAAAATGTATTTGGTTGTTACAGGGTCTCACTATGCAGCTTGGACTTGTGGTGATCCTCCTGCTTTCAGCCTCCCCAGCACTGGGATTACAACTGTGCACCACTACCTGGACACTGCTGGCACAGCATGTAGTGCTGGGGATCAAACCGCAGTCCCTATGCTTGCCTAAGCAGGTACTTTAGTCTGTTGAGCTATCTCGCCAGTTAGTTTGAAATAGCTTCTTAGCCTCCTTTTTCTCTGTCTCCAGATCAGTGGCTTTGAGTCTGTAGAAGCTACACTTTAGGATGAAGTCTGAGGTGAATGAATGATCTCAGTCACCAAATGAAGAAGAAGAGGTGGAAAAGAAGCAATTTTCCCCAAACCATAGGCAGTAGGGCTGCTGTACCTTCAAGTGCAAACCTTTCTGCCTTTTCACTAATCCCTCCTCTGCCCAGGAATTATACCTAATAATGGGTGTGGGGGTTGCCCGCCAGTGCTCTTCAGTTTGATTGGCTGTCTTCTGTCCCTGCACCCTATCCCTAGCCCTTCCCTCCTTCCAGGACTGCTGCTCATGAGAGAAGACAAATAGCCCCTGTCTCTGCTGTGGGACACTCTGATCCCATGCATCTGATTGGCTCCCTCCCAACTCAAACAAACAGAGAGAGAGAAAGGGAGGGGAAGGCGAGGAAAGAGTATAAAGGGCTCCACAGCCACACAGCCCAGCCCTGCTCCCTCTCCCCCAAGGTCCTTCTAACTGTGATGTGGAAGTCTGGTGTGTAAATTCCTAAGGCCTCCCAGTATGGAAGGCTGAGACAGGAGGATTACAAGTTTGAGCTCTGCCTGCATAATTTAGTCAGCACCCTATCTTGGGTGGGTGGGTGGTGAGTTTGACAGCAGGGAGGCCCAGAACTATTTGACAGAAGTGAAATGACTCCTTTGAGGTCATTGGGAAAGGGACAGGAGGGAAGAAATGTGTAATGAACAGGCAGGCTCCATTAGCTCCAGGCTGGTGCAGGCTTGGGTCTCCCAAAGTCCCTGCGAAACAAGAGAGGGCATTTATGCACTGACCTCACACCTTCCCAGCACAGGGAATGACCCTGACCAGGGTGAAATGGGATAAACAAGCGAGGAGCAGAGACCCTCTTTCTCTGACACCTGACTCAGCCTCCCCTCCAAGCAGACCCAGCAGGGGTGCCCTCTCCTAGGGGCAGGAGGCAGGGGCAATGGATGCTGGTGCTATTGGCAGCTAGGCCAGGCCTGGATGACTGGGGGGTTGGAGGTGGCAGATTAGGGGTTGCAGGGAGGAGCTGCATGTGACACTTGGGGCTTCTGGCTTTTTCTGTCACACTTGAATTTGCAGCTGTTGCCACTGCAGAACATGGCAAAGATGTTGGGATAAATCTGTTCAAAGTGAGTGGGTGTTTTAAGTGGATTAATGGCATTGTGTCTTTTATTGTAATAATGGGGTTTAAAGTAAATATTCATCATATATATATAACTTGCCTTTTTTTTTTTCTTTTTTGTGGAACCGGGGATTGAACTCAGGCCCTTCGCTTGCCAGGGAAGCCTATACTCCACTGAGCTATCTCCCTGGGCCCCTATCATATATATATATATATATATATAATTTTTTTTTTCTCCAGAACCGGGGATTGAACTCAGGCCCTTGCCAGGGAAGTGCTTATTCCACTGAGCCATCTCCCTGGCCCTCATCATATATTTTGATCACTTAATATATGTTCAAAAAAATTTTTTTTGAGACAGGGTCATGAGACCAAGGTCAGACTGGGCTGCCAACCTAGGGAGCTCAATGTCCACAAAGCTGTACAGCAAGACCCTGTCTCAAAAAAAGGAAAGAAACTCCGAAACTGTTTTTGCTCAACTAGCATACATGGACACTGAAGTCCTGAGTCTTCACTCTCTGGGTCTCACAGCTTGCTGTTTCATCTCCTTGCTTGTTTGCTTCTGGCCAGGCCAGGCTAGAAGATTTCAGTTTGCACACATTCGATCTCTTAATTGGTTGAGGTTTTTTGTTTTTTGTTTTTTCTGTAGTTAGTTCAGGGTCTGTGGGGTCTACAGGGTCTCATTATGTAGCTCGGACTCGTAGTGATTCTCCTGTTTTCAGCCTCACAAGTGCTAGGATTACAGGCATGCCCAGTCTCAATCACTGTCTCAGTGTACCCCGCGGACAATTGGTCAAGTTTTAACCCAGAAGCAATAGGATCTCCAGCTATAGTCACTTCTGGAGAAGCTGGTGACATTGGCTTTCTTGATGGGAACTCTGCTTCCCCATCACTGGAGGAGCTCAGGACCTCACTGTTGCTGAGGCCAGCTGTGGTACTTTCCAGGGAAGCTCTGGTCTTACGTTGAGTGTTGCTTCCTGGCTCCAGTTCAGATCCTTCAGCTTGCTAGAACAGATCCTTCATCCCACTGAAATAGACTTCCTAGCTTCTGCCACTGACCTTTGGACCTTTCCAGCACAGATCCATGAAACGGGCCTGCATGAGACTTTGTTGTGGGCTCTAAGCCTCCAGTTGGACTTGTAAGAGGCACTGTGAAGGGCTCTAGGTTTTTAGCTGGACTCGTGCGGGATATTAGGATCTAGGCTCTCAGCTGGATTCTTTGGTCTTTAGTGTATGAACAGATTTCCTGCACTTTTGTATTTGATTCTTTGGGTGATTATAAAAGAATGTTATATGGGCTGGGGAGATAGCTCAGTAGAATAAGCGCTTGCCTGGCAAGTGCAAGGTCCTGAGTTTAGTCCCTGGTACTGAAAAAACAAAAACAAACAAACAAAAGAATGTTATAAAATGTGTCCTGTATTGCATCGTTCCCCTTGCAAAAACCCCAAATACAACAGTGTCACGCTCACATACACAAAAATCTAGTAATCACAAAAAAGGACACTGCAGCCCCTGCTGCCATCTGTCACTTTAATTCTGGCACCCATTGCTGCTCAATGCTGCCCTTCCTGTCTTGGAGGAACCTGCTCCCTGTCCTGCGACCTCAGTGCTTTATTCTTGTCACTGCCTTTTTCCCCCAGTGGATCTGATGGGAGTACATTCCTTGACCTACTCTGGCAGAAGCCTGGCAACCCAGCAAGTGTGCATGGGCTACTCTCAAAAGATAATATCCTGCCCTTTGTCTGATGTAATGTGTAAGCATTTGGCTAAAGAACTGAGGTTAGAAGAATTTGCCACTTTTCTTGAAGTTGCAGTTGCTGAAGGACCATTTTTTTGGGAGTAAATGCTGACACTCCATCGATCTCATACTGGCTCAAATGCTGTGGCTGAGGTGTGAAGAAAAGAAACTCAATGGTGACAGCAGAGTTTTCATTTCCTTTGAAAATTACCCCAAAATGCATCCTTTTGAAAACAGCAACAACTCTGAAGACAAGGTTGACTGGAAGGATATTCTTTTTTTTTTTTTTTTTTGACTGTAAACTTTGGTTTATTTTTATTTGAGTTCTCATTTTACAGCAAGCATGAAAAAGAAAGTGGAGTCCATGAGGAGATGAACTGTCAATCTGTCTTTAATCTGGCATGATGAGACACCTGGTCAGTCAGGCCTGCTTTGATAGAGTTTGTTACAGACTACCTTATGTTTTCCTCCATCAAATTATCACCCAGTGGCTTCAATACCTGTTCCCATAGTGTTTCAGCAATCTGATCAATCATAGTTCCAATTTCTCTGAACTCCCCAGAGTTTTTTTTTTTAAAACATTTATTTATTTAGAGTGTGTGTGTGTGTGTGTGTGTGTGGCCAGCTCAGCCCACCAGGGGGCGGGGCTGGCTGGCATGTGGTGCTGAGGGATTGAACCGCGGTCCCTGTGATTTGCTAAGCTTGTTCTAAGTAGGTGCTTTAGACCACTGAGCCATCTCACCAGCCCTCCCCAGAGTTTTTAACATATGCCAAGTACAAAGGGATGTCAGTGCTAACCCCATGACAAGGTTACAAATACAGCTATAGAGTTTAGGCCAATGAAGCCAGTCAGTCCTGAGATTATATACATTGCAAACATCACCGCAAACAGTGTGGCAGGAGTACGAGCAGCATAAAAGATATTTTTGCCATCATTGTGCTTTATAAAATTTGCATAGGTTTCTTCAATTTCAGCCTCAAGCTGGTCCTGATACCGACGGCAGAACTCATCGCCACCCATTTTTTTCACAGAACAAAACTGTCTAATTGGCACTTCCTTGAGATCCAGGTGTTTTTGCTCCAGGTCTGAAGGTGCAGTGTAAGGCTTGTCCCCACCACATACCTGTTCCATACTTTTGCAATAGACATCTCATGCTCCTGCTACTGCAGCAAGATTATTAGCTGCAGCTGTTGCCTGAAGCATAGACTTTGGATGTGGAAGTTCTTCTTGATCAATTTTAATGTAAGCCTTAAAATATTCTACAAGATCTCTACAAGTGACTTTAGATCCACTTATCTCTTTTTCTACCAAATTTTCAGGGGCAAGCAGCAATGGAACTAAATTTCGAAGTTCCCGTTTAAATTCTTCATCAATATCTTTCAATCTCCCATCACAGCTAGGATTAGTTACAACTTTAAGACCAGGATATGGCAAAAGGAAGCAACCCAGATTTGAGAAACAATTATAAATATGCTTCCTTACATTCTGTAGCTCTTCATGTTGATTTTGTTTTACCTGTAATCTCTTTTCAAGAAACTGTTTTCCACCTTCCAAACCATATGAATGTTCATAAGGGTAACTCCAATCTCTAATCAAAAACATTAACGTCTGAAATGGTTTCTGATAGATTTCTTCCATGGCAAGTCTTCCATATTCTGTAAATAATTGTAAGTGTTGAAGATCATCTTCTTGAATATTTTGAGACAAATTATATACCTGAACAGAACTAGTCATAGTGCTCAGAGCAAAAGCTGTTGCACAGTCCTTGATAGTTGACTGGCTATCAAAGGCACCCTGGGTATCCATTAGCAGCACAGCCACTTTTGTCCCATTAGGTCTGTCAGTCACAAATACTTCATTCCAAACTTGTATGCCTGTTGTTTCTCTTTCACAGCCACCTCTCCATGTAAAGCCAGTCAATGGTTCATTGTTTCCACCAATCCAACTTTGAGAATCCTTGTTATACATATATCTAAGCATGAAGTCCAGTAGAAATGATTTTCCTTTATGAAAAGCTCCTGCCACTGACACCACAACTATGTTAAGAGCTCGTATCTGCTCCTGTAGCAAAATCTGCTCCAAAGCTTCTTCATCAAGCTTGAAGTTATGATCATCTCCATGAGCAAGAACAATCTGTACTGGACATGGTTTCTTCATAACCTCATTAGAATTTACTAGGTCATCATCTTCATAATCCTCATCTAGGGAGGTCGAGGACGAGATGTGGTTAACCTCGGCGCTGTAGTCGCTCCTCAGCCCCTGGTGCGGCTGCTCCCCTTGCTTGGAAGGATATTCTTGACGACCTCTACCGGCCAGCAAAGCCAGTTCCCACTCCTCAAAAGGGATTTACCTGAAAAGGAAAAGATATCACCACCAAACACAATGAAGTGATATGCAGGAGAAAGAATGCAGCAAGAATGGAAAGTTTTGCACATGGCTTTAATGTAGGAAATGGAATTGTAGTGCATTTAAAACTATCAAACCATAGGGCCAGCCAAATAGCTCAGTGAATTAAAGCACCTGCAAGCAGGTGCAGGGACTGGGGGTTTGATCCCTGGGCCTGCTGTGCCGGCCCCACCCCCGGGGTATGCTGAGACTCTGATTGAGATGGTGTGGTGGCACATGCCTGTCATTCCAGCACTTGGGAGGCTGTAAACAGGTGGAACAGTACGAGTCTGATCTAGTAGTGAGACCCTGAATACCCTGTAAATATTCTGCCTTTCCCTAGAATACAGAAAAAAATAATGAAACTATCAAACCATGTTTCCAGTAGGAACACTGGAGTACCTGCCTGCATTGAAAAAAAGGAGCACTCCAGTAAAAAATAGTTGGCCCTATATAAAATGCTCATACATAAAATGGTCAACTCTGGGACGCTGGAGACAATCACTGGCTGCATTAGCACAGGGAAGGAATCAGTTGCCTTTCATGCATATGGAGTGAGGTAAGAGAGCCAACGGTAACACCACTGCCATGTGCACAAATGCACAGTCCCTGTTGCCAGGATTGGTGGATTGGTACAAAATCAAAGTTAATGCTGCACTGCAAGCAGAGTAATTTCAGATGTGTTATGAGAAGTCTACATAGGAAGTTATTTTTTCTTAACTATTTAACTTATTTTCCTTTCTGGATAAGACATTCACATATGATCAGACACTGAGTTACACCTCTAAAAATGAAGAAGTAAAAATGAATGTTGGGAGTGAGGTATGGTGGCACGTATTGTTGTCCAGCACTCTGGGAAGCTGAGGCAGCAGGATCGCAAGTTGAGCCCAGACTGGACAACTTAGGGACTTAGCAAGACCCTGTCTCAAAATAATAAAGGGCTGGGGATATAACTCAGTGCAAGAGCCCTGGACTCAATTCCCAATACTGGGGGAAACACTGGGGCTCAGGGATGCACCTCACTGGTAAAATGCAAGTATGCAGAAGGCCCTGGGTTTGACCCCAACACTAAAAAGAAAAAAATAGAAGAGTTTAACACTGAAACATCATTTTTCAAGCTATGTGATCTGATAAAAAATACTAAATAATTTAAGTAAGCTTTAGGTAGTACATAAAGCACTACACTTAGGCTATGTGAGGTAGTAAAAATTGTATCTCAGCTGAGTGTAGTGCTTTATGTCTATAATCCCAGAACTCAAGAGGATGAGGTGGAAGGATTGCTGTGAATTGGAAGCCAGCGTGTGCCTTATAAGTGATTTCAAGGCCAGCCTGTACTACATCGTGAGACCTTGCCTCAAAAAAGAAAAAAAATTGTACCTCACCTATAGGATTTTTGTGGCAATAAATGAGATCGTATTTGGTAATATCTGGTTTATAATATTAGTAAACATTTATTTCTTCTTTCAAGAAGAAAAAAAAGCTGGGCATAGTGGCCCATGATTGTAATCCCAGCACTCTGGAGGCTGAGGCAAGATGATCACTGTGAGTTCAAGACCAGCGGTCATTTTCTGGGGTCTACAGTTTTGTGATGCTGTCCAATTCAAGGCAGGATTCTGCTCACCGGTAGACAAGGAAGGCAGTTAGGCCCCAGACCCACGCTGGATAATCCCAGCAAGCCTGCAGTAGAATTAGGGCAAGGTGCTGTTTCTGGGATTTTGACTTCCACAGAAATTCAGGTTGAACCTAGCCTCCTCTTCATGGTGGGGCACGAGTCATTTAGCTTATGACACTCTTGGTGTCTCTGCTGGCCTGACCCAGCTCCCTTTTTGTCCCCCCAAATTGTTATTTTCCAGTGTCTAAATTCCAGTTCTTAGAGAGGCTGATTTATTGCCACTTACTGCTCTGCCATCTTACTGGAAGTCCCCTCCATTTTATAAATATTTCTGTAATATATATTCTTGTACATTTTACTAACACTACTTCAGATCATTTCCTTATTACTCCCCATGTATTCTTTTTTTGATGTTCTGTTTTGCTTTTGAGACAGGGCCTCACTACATAGTGCACGCAGGCCTTGAACTCATTTATGTAGTTCAGGCTGCCCTTACACTCAATGATTCTCCTGCCTCAGCTTCCCCAGTACTGGGATTACAGGTGTGGGCCACCATGCCCAGGTATTTCTACATATTCTTTTCTCAAAACAACCTTTATTTCTTCCATTCTGAAGGTATGTGAGACCCCATTAAACTCCAAATTCCTTAAGACCTGTTCTTCTTTTGTAGTCCCACTCAGCCTAGGGAAAAGCCCAAAGTTCTAGTGCCCCTTGGAAAACTCCTAGGGGCTCTGCACTGGGTCAGACGCTTCTCCTCTTACTCCAAAGCACTGACCTTCATCACTGAAAAATGTATACACCTGGAGGCCTGCTCATACCGCCCCCCCAGAAGGCCTGACTGAAAGGACGAAGACCGACTTTAACATACCTTTAGCCCCTGGTCCATAGGGGATCCTCAGTACATGTTTGTTTGTTTTTTCCATAATTTTATTGATAAACAAATAGCAATGAGACAGTTTCAAATCAAATTGGTAGGACAGTTTCAATAATTAACTCATTGCATACATTCCTCCCAGTGTTAATTGCTGTACAAGATGGGGACATGAGGGGCTGGGGAGCTGGGTCAGTGGAATAAGTGCTTCCCTGGCAAGCTCAAGGACCCAAGTTCGATCCCTGGTTCCACCAAAAAAAAAAAAAAAAAGATGGGGACATGATATCCTATCTACAAACACCATACATGTTTGATTAATGTGTGAGCCTTAGTGGACCAGGAAGCTTAAGGTCCTAGGCCAGACTAGAAATTCCAAGTCTGTGTCAGTCAGTGCTTACTCGAAAAACAGATTTAATGCAAGATATACAAATATACAAGAATTTACAAGACTGGCTTACAATGGCTGCCCACACAGTTGGGTGTGGAAGAGTGTAAAAGAGTTGTCTGAGTGCTGAAGATCTGAAGAATCCAGCTGAAGGCCTAGAGCTCACTGCAGTGTCCCATTTGAGTCTGTATCAGGAGGTCAGGGTGCACAGTGGAAGGCTGAAGGGTCTGCACTAGACGCCAGAAGATGACGACCAAGGAGGTGCAGACTAGAGCTTCTCTGAAGAAACACATGTGAGCCTTTCTTCTTCATTACCCTTTTACCATTTAGGCAGCAACCCCATTGTCGCTGTCCCGCATGCCTGGTAAAAACCCAGCAAATCTTCCAGCAAATTTCAGCCTCATCCAGAACTATGCTGTTGAGTTGGGTGTTCCTTACTTTTTAATTTATTTTTGTATTTAGTACAGGGTCTACAGGGTCTCACTTCAGAGATCAGACTCATAATGATTCTCCTGTTTTCAGCCTCCCAAGTGCTGGGATTACAGGCATATGCCACCACGCCCTGCCTCAGTCATTGTGCTTTGCCTAAGCAGGTGCTTTAGTCCACTGAGCTCACTGGCTGGCCCGGGTGTTTCTTTTTTCTTTTCTTCTTTTTTTTTGTTTATTATTTTTTTCTTTTCCATAATTTTATTGAGAAACAAATAGCAATGAGACAGTTTCAAACCAAATTGGTAGGACAGTTTCAGTAATTCAATAATTAACACATTGCATACATTCTTCTTAATGGTTAATTGCTTACAAGATACAGACTTGATATCCTATTTACAAACACCATTCGAACAAATCCCTCTATTCATTAAGAGAATGTAACTATATATCTATCCTAACCACTTTGAATACACAGATACAAAATGGACATTCATCTGTATCCCCTTTTTTTGTTAAGTTCCATCATTTGAATATTATAGGTGTGTAAACTCAGCAAAATATTCTAAAAGAGTTCAGTAGTCCATAATAGTATTGGGTCTTCTGCTTCACTGGCAATGTCAGAAATTGTTGACCTGAGTCCCCTACAGCTCAACATAACACCGTGGCTTTACTTCTTATACTTCTTTTTTATACTTTTCTGCTGGATGGTTAAGACCAAGGTAAAGCAGGACCTATGCAACAAGAGTTGTAGCTTTTGGGTCTGATAAGGTCAGTGAAATCCCCTCAGGATTTATCGGGAGATCCTGTACCTCAGATTGTTTGTCAGTGTCAGCCATGTGGATGAGTCACGGCCATTGCTTGGCCAATGTGCTCTCTGTGAAAGCCTGAGAGAATGTTTTCTCTCCATGTGACTCTCCTTAGGCACACTCTATATCATGGATCACTTTCCTCTTTGGCTCCACCGGGCGTTTGTTTAAATTGATACAGTCGGTCAACTGTCAGAGTCAAAGATTTACACAGTTCCCTTTTGGGTTGCCTTGTTTATTTTTGGTCTTTTTTGATTTACAGTTTCATTTTTGGAACAGCCTGCAAAGTACTACACCGAAATTCTGGGCTGGCAGGAGCCCTTGGAATTCATTAGGAGTTTCCAAATTTCTTTATTACATATACACACATCAAGTAAACGATAGAAGAGACGGAGCAATGAAGGCATCTGTGGAACTTTCTCAGTGGTTCCGGAAGCACATAAAACTTAAGTTTATGAAAATAATCGAACCAGTCCAATAGTCTAATTTCACAACTTCGAGAAAAAGTACTCTTGATCATGAGAAATGGTTTGTTCAAGGTCACACGTGTGCAGAGTAGGAGAGGAATCAGATCCGACTTCACTCACCCCTGTTGGAGCCAGCCTTCAAGTACCTGAGGCATCCTTTGTGCCTTCAGCAAGCGTCTAAAATGCCTGTAATCAAGATCCAGTGTGAGTATATTTCACAGGTAAGAAACCTTACTTTGGGCGACGGAGTGAGCCAGGCTGGTCGACAGAGTAGAGTTTTCAGCATAGTAGACTCTAGGGGGCGTCAAGCCAACAGAAACACCGAAAGGTTTGGCGAGGGCACACTTTGGTTTTGGTTTTCCAGGGCAGTGGAAGCCCAGGAGCACCTCCTACGGGCGGTGACAGGGCAGCGCCTCTCGCTGTCTTCCTCGCAATGGCATCTTTCCCTGGCTGCTCCACAGACCTGCTCCAGGCAAGCCCAGCCCCTCTGCCGCACAGGGTTCAGGATTCTGCGCCTGCACACTGTCCTGTGTCTCCTGGGCTGCTCGAGACACAGTTACCCTTGTGTCCTCAGTGCCAAAAGGGCAGGTTCTGACACGAATGGTGGGTCAGAAAGTGTTGGATGAACCTACTGAACTATCCAGTCTCCCAAATAACTTCGTGAAGGCTGAGCGTTAATCCCCATAAATCACCGCAGAGGCGCCCCTCCTCTGCCTGCCCGCAAACCCTTGCGCGTGTGGACGTCAGATCAGCTATAGGATCCGAAGCTGCAGTCGGCTCAGGAGTTGAGGGGAGAAAGCCAAGAAAAAGCGTTTGAAACCTGAGGAAAGACACTAGCCAAGGCGCAGTTCCTATGGCAACCACTGAGGCCGACTAGCCTGAACCTGTCTCTTGGGAGGACTAGGTTTGAGTTCCTAGAGGAACTATGGTCTCTATGGTCTCCACAGGCTAGAAAGCCCGGCACGGCGCTTCCGGGAAGATGGCGGCATACATGTCAGGCGTGGCACATGCTTCCGCAGAGAGGTCACCGCTGTGACGGTAAGAGGCTCCTCTCCCCAGGGTTCAGGAACAAATGTGAGGGCAAGAGAGTAGTTTTACTCTAATGACACTATAGTAAAAGTGCTGGAATTTAGAACCTTAACAAGAGGCCGAGGGAAAGGGCAGCCGGCTTTCAGACCGCTGTAAGACAGCCACTCTGGACTTCTGAAAATTCTGATGCGCGAGGAGACAGTGCCACGAAAGTGTGCATGCAGCTTTCACAAAGACTGTATCGCACAGCAGAAGACTCAGTTACTTCTCTCTGCAGTTTTCCATGAAAACCCTTTTAAAGCGATTCTCTCCCGTCATTCTCAGTTCCCTGCGCCGCCTTAACTGTCAGGGGCTGAGGAATAACACTTTTCTCGGACTTCTGGGGCATGTCCCATTGAATTACTGTGACATGGGATAAGCTGTAAGCAAGGAGCACAAAGAGCTTTAAGAGACCTGAGAGTAGTGATTAGGAACACCAGCTCTGGATTGCCTGAATGCTGACCCGCAGTCCCCTACTTGCTGTTTGACTTGTGAATTAAGCTCAGTGCCTATTTTCTCACTTATAAATAATGGATAAGAACACCTCCAAATAGTGCTGGGGGCAGAACTGAGATAATCCATGTGCAACGATTACCAACAGCCTGCCATTGAGTAAATGTTCAATAAGTAGTGTATGGAGGCTGGGGAGACAGTTCAGTAGATTTTAAGCCCTTGCCTGGCAAACACAAGGGCCTGAGTTCAATTCCCAGTTCCACCAAAAAAATAAAAATAAAAAAATAAAAATAAAAAAATAGTAGTGTATGGGATTGGACCCAGTACCTTCCTATTCACACTAAATTACATCCCCTTTAAAAGATTTTTTTTTTTTTCCCTGAGTTCAAGGGATTGAACTCAGGCCCTTGTGCTTGCCAGGGAAGCGCTTATTCCACTGAGCCATCTCCCTGGTCCCTCCCAGCCCTTTAAAAAAAAGACCCTGTCTCAAAAATCCTTGTGCCTTAGGCTCCCAGAGTGCTGAGCTTACAGGCATGTGCTACATTCACTATTTAAGTAGGATTACTTCTATTATTGTTGAAATCTAAGGATGGATAAGTCAGAGATGACTTCTGAAAGGAGGCAGTTTTGAGGTTACCTTTAAGACTTCAGTATTTGAATATTGTGTTACAGTATCAAAAAGTAGGATTTTTTTTTTTTTTTTGGCTGGCTCAGGACACCTTAAGGGCAGGTCTGGTAAGGCATGATGAGGATCTGGGGATCGAACCACAGCATCCTGAGCCTGACTGCTTTGCTTAAGTAGGCACTTACTGAACTAATGGGCAGACGCCCTAGTATCAAGAAGATGAGCCATTTCTTCAGTCTGCTTTTCTGTTGGTGCTGTCAAGGGGTCAGCTTTTCAGGTTATCGTCCTTCACAGAAGGCAGGGGAACAGAGGTGAAAGGCATCTGACTTTGCCTCTTTTTTTACCTAAAGCAACTGCTCACTCTTCTGAAACCTAGCACATAATGTCTTGGAGGAGGGAATGTGATGGTGTGATTTTATTTAAGATAGAGCCTTACTTTGTAATCCAGGGTAGCCTCATACTCACAATGATCCTCCTGCCTCCACCTCCTGAGTGCTGGGATTACAGGTGTGTGCCACCAGGCCCAGCTCAGATTTTTTTTTTTTTTTTTTTAAATAGGATCCCTACGAGACCTTTTTTTTTTTTTTTTTTTTTTAATTTTAGGGAAGGTTCTACAGGGTGTTCTGGGTCTCACTACTATAGATCAGACTTGTAGTGATCTGCCTGTTTGCAGCCTCCCAAGAGCTGGGATTACAGGTATGCGCCACCACACCCAGTCTCAATTGCCCTCTCAGTGTGCCTCCTGGATCGAACCCGCAGCCCCTGTGCCTGCTTGAGGCACTTTAATCCACTGAGCTATTTGGCTGGCCTCCCAAATGAAACTTTTACCCTTCCTAGTTTTCTTTTTGGGAGGCCACATTAGTCCCATTAGTTCGCTTTGACAGTTGTCAGCAATTCCTGTGTTAAATATGACCCCAGATCTTAGCACAAGTTAAATGTGGTGAATCAAGTCAACATCGGTAGTTTTGAGTCTTTTGTGTGATAACCCATCTTAACAATTTAAGAGGCAAATTTAGTGTATAAATTGTATGATGCTGTTCTGGGTCCAAAGGAGAAATGTATGAATTACTGTAAAGACATCACTGTTTGATGATGTGATTAGGGACCACTTTGCAGTCAGGTAATTTGTTGTTTTTTGTTTTTTTTTTTTAACATTTATTATTTATTGTGTGTGTGTGTGTGTGTGTGTGTGTGTGTGTGTGTGTGGCCAGCTCAGCCCACTAGGGGGCAGGGCTGGCTGGCATGTGGTGCTGGGGGATCGAACCGCGGTCCCTATGCTTTCCCAAGCTTGTTCCAAGTAGGTGCTTTAGACCACTGAGCCATCTCCCAGCCCGCAGTCAGGTAATTTGGACTCATTTCAATTCTTTTACTAGCTGTGTATTCTCAGGCAGGACACCCAGGCCTTGTTCTCATTTGTAAAATAAAGATAGCCATCTCAAAGGACTAACATTAAATGAGTCGACAGTATGTATAATCTACCTGTTATGCAGTAGATGCTCAGTAAGACTACCTCTTCTAAACTGGACAGTGTCAAAGGGGACTTGCGGCAAGTGCGAAAGCAGCAATGTGCAAGAACTGGGTAGTACCCCTACCAAGAGCATGGGCACAAGACATAGGCTCTCTTAAATACCAGTATCTCATATTGCTTTGTTTGTACAGGGCAGTAGACTTTGGGAGATGTTATGAGATGGTAACAAATGTGAGCTGTACAGACTCTGCCTTTTTTTTTTTTTTTTTTTTTTTTTGGCGGAACTGGGGATTGAACTCAGGCCCTAGCGCTTAACAGGGAAGTGCTTATTCCACTGAGCCATCTCCCTGGCCCCTCTCTGCCTGGTTTGAATTCTACAGTTAGCTGTCTGACTGAGCCAGTCATCTTGCCTCTTTAAGCCTCAATTTCCTCATTTGTAAAGCACAGATGATATGTAATAGTTTCTCAAGCAGGCTGGAAAGGTTGAATGAGATTCATGGAAATCCTTGGCACAGTCTGGCATACAGGGAGCTTGCCTCAGTATGAACACTGGTTCTGTTTGACTCCAGCATGTTGGTGTTAGGCTCTCTGTAGCCAGATGGAGAGCTCCCCAGAGACCAGGACTCCATCTCTGCCAAGGGAATTCTTAGGGTTTAGGAATGAGAAGCCTGTCAGACCAGCCAGGATAGGAGTTGATGACTGGTTTGAGCACTTTCTCCTTTCCTCTGAAAAGGACAATGTTCTCTCCTTTCCTGGTGAGATCCTGAGAAGCAGCCTCTTTTCCACCATGAGTGTTACCCCAGAGGTCAAGAGTCGAGGGATGAAATTTGCTGAGGAGCAGCTGCTAAAGCATGGATGGACTCAAGGTGATCGGGTGGGACCTCCCACACCCCCAACTCCCTGCCCACCTGTGTCCTCGGGCACCTGTCAGTCTGAATTAGTCTCTGTAGACCTTTCAGAAGAGGGAAAACTAGTTTAAATAGAAAAGTGCTGAATTTTCTGACTCATTCTGAAAATGGGAGAAACTTGATGAAAAATGAAAATGTGGTTGCATGAGGGGAGACATTAAAAGATGTGGCCTCGGGGGGCTGGAGAGATGGCTCAGTGGAATAAGCATTTCCCTGGCAAGCGCAAGGCCCTGAGTTCAATCCCCGGTTCCGCAAAAAAAAAAAAAAAAAAAAAGATGTGGCCTCTCCCCCAGCTTAGAATAGGAAAGATGGTTCTGGCTCAGAGGGAGTAGGACTACATAGAGTAGAATTGAATAGTACCTAGAGGATTTGGCTGGGGATATAGCTTAGTGGCACAAGGGCCTGCCTGGCAAGGGCCTGAGTTCAATTCCCAGTACCAAAAAAGGATTTCTAGAAGGGACAGAGTATTCCCCAATGCTAGATATGTGAAGAACTGGCATGTGTGGAATGTTAAGGACTCAGTCTACAGAAGCTGGCACCCATTTTATTTTATAGGCAAAGGCCTGGGCCGGAAGGAGAATGGCATCACCCAGGCCCTCAAGGTGACATTGAAGCAGGACACTCATGGGGTAAGACTGGGCAGGCTGGTCGGCATGGGCAGGAAAGGATACCCTGGAGAGCATATGGGGCAGGTACTCAGCTCATACTTAACTCTCCTGGCAGGTGGGACATGATCCTTCCAAGGAGTTTACAAACCACTGGTGGAATGAACTCTTCAACAAGACTGCAGCTAACTTGGTGGTGGAAACTGGGCAGGTACAAGCTGAGAGGCAGCCATGTGAAACCTGACAGGCTGGGACACAGAGGGGGGAGACATGGTATGTCACTCACTGATACTCTCCTACAGGATGGAGTACAGATCAGGCGCCTCTCTAAGGAGACCACCCAGTGTAATCGTCCCAAGCCCAACTTGCTGTATCAGAAGTTTGTGAAGGTATTACAGACTGGGATAAGAGTCCCTCTGTCATCTCCCCCGGGAGGACTGTCCTAGAACAGTGAGATCCTATGCCCAATCTTCCCATTCTTAAGACTGGTGAGACACTCAGCAACAACTGAGATCTTTGAGCTCTATGGATCCCTGCTGTCTGCTGGCAGAAGTGGGGATAGAGTTGGGGAGAGGACAGAGTGCATTGGGTGGTGGTATGGGTATCTAGGTCAAAAGATGAGATCTGAGGAATTACCTAGTCCATCCTTATTGTACCTATGTAGCCAAAAGGGTAGAAACTAGCAGGCTGAAGAGCTCACAGTTGGTAATAGCAGACAGGACCAGAACCCAGGGGTTTTGCTTTTACCAAACTGGCAGAAGGAAAGTTAATGTTTAGTGATCATATGCTTCAGGGCTTTAAATGATACACAGCAAATCTTCCCCTCTCTCTGTATCTGTTACCATACACTGCACTATGCCACTATCACTCCTTTATCTTACTTTTGTCTTTGGGTTACAGGTGGGTGCCACCATACCTGGTGAGCACCCCTTTACTAGTTTACTCACCACTAGTCTCATGCTACTCCAATCCATTTAACCTTCACACATCCATAGTGCAAGTTGGAGGCCAGTCTGAGCAATGCAGGGAGTTCAAGGTTAGCCTGAACTATATAGTAAGCAAAACAAGACAAAACTCATCCAAAGTGGGTTATTAGGAGGAAACAGTGCCAGGAAATGCACCAGGGCCTCATACTTGCAAGACAAATGCTCTACACCAAGCTACTTCCCCACTGAACATTCTACAACACAATGGAATTTGTCATAGGCTACTGTCTGACCACAATGGCAGTCCAGACTTACCAGACTGGCTCACATGGTTCTTCATGCTTTGTCCCTGCCTTTTTTATTCTCTCTTGCCAGTTCTCTGTAGGACCACTACACTTCGGTCATACTGAATCTTTTTTTTTTTTTGAGAGAGAGAGTTTATCCTTAAAGTACTTTATTTTGCAACCTGCTTCTCTTGTAAAACTAAAGGTCCACTTTATTATGTAAGTTTTAATACAATGTAAAACCAGAACTGTATGTAAAATACTGTATCTAAATGTTTCTAAGGGGGCTGGTGAGATGGCTCAGTGGTCTAAAGCACCTACTTAGAACAAGCTAGCAAAACACAGGGACTGCGGTTCAATCCCCCAGCACCACATGCCAGCCAGCCCCGCCCCCTGGTGGGCTGAGCTGGCCCCACACACACACACACACACACACACACACACACACAAATAAATAAAATGTAAAAAATAAATAAATAAATAAATAAA